GTGAGGGACCCAGCCGTGGCCAGCGGCGGGACCATCTTGGAGCCAGCTGGCATTGGCTCTGTCGGACATGGGGGAAGCTTCTAGCAGCTTCTCACAGAATCCACCCCTGTAGCCCCTCCGCTACCAAAACCTTGCCGTGCAAACCCGATACACAAAGATAATCAGACTGTAAAGTTTTGTGGAAATAACAGGGTGCTTAAGAATAACTTAAGTATCATGCCAGCTGAGTAAAAGGCTCAGGAAAATGGGGCACATTAGGGACTACAAAGGGTGAGAAACTTCAGTAAGAGCTCCCAGTCGAGCAGGAGGAATCCAGAGCCGAAGTATGCTTCATGCCGATTGCCATGGAGCTGATTTCTGTCTGCAGTAAAATATGCCCATTCGTGATCTTCTAGAACTTGATGCAAATTTGATCTACATCTAGTAAACAGAGAGGCTAAACCTTTGTAAAATAGAGTCCCAGGTCAGTGTCTTGAAAACAAATACATTCTGAATGTTACCTTCTTGGGAAAGTTGCCATCTGTCCTTTTGCTTTTGGGACAGAGAGGTGATTCATTCAGGAAGAACTGGTTGCTGCTTCTCCCTCCTGCGGCTGCCCGGCGTGGGGAGGTGTGTTGTAAACGCGCCCTCTTGGGACAGACGGTCTCGGCAGCAGTGCTGGAGCAGGCTCGCGTGGGTCAACTAACAACTCTGAAATGGAGGATGTGAAATGACTTCTGTCTTCGTCTGTCTCTGATTTAGGAACGGAGGGACGATGTGAGAACAGCATTCAGTTGTACTTGCTGCTGAAACAGCAATAACAAAACATATGTTCTGTTTCCTGCCATTATAGGCGAAAGGAAGTTGTTGACATATGTGGTAGATTTTGGTTCCTTATGGGGGGTGGGGAGTAAGAAACCACTGTAACTCTTATGTAGACTCAAGGTTGATTTTCACAGAAACCTGCTTTGCCAGAGAAGAATTCTTTTCAGACAATATTTATTTGTTCCTTTTCTCCTGCACAGTAGGCTTAAAACTAAATTACTTGCTAATATTCCAAACTCTCACCAATCCCAGTTTTTTGAGAAACTGTACATGAAATAGAATATTCCTTCATATGTTTCCCACATTTCATTTGATTGTAACATTCTAGTTTTCATTCCTTCTTTTCCCAGTGTCTCCTATCATTGTTACATCGATAGGCTTTCTGCAGCTTTTGTTGTGCTTAGCTATTCAACAAGCGGTAAAAGACTACACCGGTCTTGTTTTCGGAGGAATGCCTAAGTATTGGTGAATTTGCTAAATAAATAAATAAAATAAAATAAACCCCAACAAACTAACCATGAAAAATGCTTAGATCAATTAGTAGATGGTTCATTTTTGATAGATAACAATGTGAATTTGTTCTAATGAAGACTCAAACCTATCAACCTATCTTTTTTGGTTTTTTTATGTAATAGATTTTTTGAGGGCAATCAAATGTGTCTTCATAGCATGCAGCAGCTACAGCATGAAGAAATAAAATAGGAAATTCTTTCTTTCTCTCTTCTCATTGTGAAGGGCTACAGTTTACTGTAGCACATCAACGATTCCAGTGAGATGACTTCTGCGTTAAGATACTAGCATTTTTATGTAGGGGTAAGAGAGTCTGGCCTAAAATCCTTGCTGATTAGGAATTTTCTAGTAATTATTTCAATCTGCTTTTTTGTTTTAATTTAGGTAAACACTTTTTTTCCTTTTTAAAAAGGAGTATTTCCAGTGTTAGCAGGCTTTATAGCAGAAAAAATGTCACCTTCAGATGTTGAGGTTTGAATGTTAGCTGCTAATAAGTACATTTTGTAGACATGAATCCACTGTAAAACTCGTGTTTGCGTGCTCTGAGTGACACGTGCTGTTGAGTAAAGATAGACAACATATTCAGTGGTTTCTCTCTTAAGAGCTCTATGACCAAAGTACCAGGGATGCTATAAATAAAGATGGGATTGTAACAAGTAAGTTACATGGATGCATCTGTCCGGAAAGTGTCCAGTTCTAAGTGGTACTGTTACACCACTTGCTTTTGTGATTGTTTGTGTTTCTGCCAAGATTACACACAGCAAAAATCTTAAATTGCATTTTGGATGTTAGGCTTGTGAAGTTGCATCAACTTTCATGCTGATCTTGAGCAACAGGGATCTGAGCAAAATAGCAAATAAAACCAATGAATAGGAATATTATTTTGTCTGAAATTTTTTTGTATATGCTCCTTTTTGCTTTCAGAAATCATTAGTAAGATAGGGTTTTCCAAAGAAATAAAAAGTGAAGTATGTATGTATTAACTGAAGGATAACTAAAAATAGTGCTGCATATTTGTAAATGTTCATGATGTTGGCAATAGAGGAGGAGGAGGAGGAATTACTTAAAAGAAGAGATTGCGAGGATTAACAGTTAAGAAAAGGAGAGTAAGCTGAGCTGATTTTATGATACGTTTATAGTAGTACCTCTTAGGTTGTGAGAAAGCCTTACAGTAGAGAGTGCAAAAGCTGTGTGCCTTTGGCATTGAAAGCTGAAAATTTTAGCGTACTTTGTAATATGGATTTCATATTACACGTGAACCTTATGGTAGAATAGGTCCAACTTCTGTTTGAAAATGACATTTCTGCGGTGTTCCTAAGCACCATGCAGCATGAGCAGTATTGGAGTTTTAACGATACACTTGTGTCTGAGAGCTGCGTGCTGTCGTGTTCAGATAATGACGCTACTTTGTTTTTAATACCTTTTAGGGACACAGACGGAAGAATGCTCTTAGATATTTTTGACGAAAACCTTCATCCCCTTTCGGTAAGTTCATCTGCCTCTTCTTCCTTTTCATGTGAACTGTCTGTCTTTCTGTCTGCTTCGTTTTGTTTCAGTCACCTATTTGGAAGTATTTCTTCCTTAGAAATCCGAAGTGCCACCAGATTATGACAAACATGACCCGGAGCAGAAACAGATTTACCGCTTTGTTCGGACGTTGTTCAGTGCTGCTCAACTGACTGCTGAATGTGCCATTGTCACCCTGGTGAGTGTCTGAGGGATGACATCAACGATATGACAGACCCAGTTTTGTTCCCAAAGCTTGTGTTTGTATGATTTGATAGATCTAGGTGCTGCCATGGAATTTTTTCTCACCCTGGAGACCAAGGGAATTTCTTGATGGGAAGAGATACTACAGTTCATTTTCTTGCGGAGAGTAAGTGATGGAAGAAGAGGTTGGGTAACATGCGACACAAAAGCCGGGGTTATGTCTTGCCCTCACAGAGCGATCATGTTACAGGCCACCAAGGTGACGCAGAAAACGCAGGTGGCATAAGTGGTCTGAACTGGAGGGAATGTTAAAAGCAGAAAGGTTTCCGCTTTTGGGGGGTTTGCTGTGTATCATTGTAGCTCCCAGCAGAGACTCGGGAACAGCTGTAGGTAATTTAATCGCACTAATAAGAATTGATGGGCACATGAAGGGTTTGGTGAGTGACTGGGACATGTTGGTGATGGCTCTTTTTTACTTGCACTGTACTTGTCTTTCAGGACCATGTCATAGGATCGAACAATTGTACTCAAGGCTGAAGTTTAGCTACTTAAAAATAGCACAACACAAAAGAAGGTTCAGATTTTCAGCTGGTGTGGATCAGCATAGCAATGTGGATTAAAGGAGCTAAAGTGATCTCCACCAGCTGAGAATTTCTTAATTTTCCTGAAATTTTTATCCTGCCCACTCTGACAAGCCTCTTCAGCTTTCAGGCATGATTTTAGCCATGTTCTTGACCCAGAGATTTAAAAAAAAAAAAAAACAAACAATTTTTTCTACCGCTACAACGTGGTTTCATAACAAAGAAATGATGCACTTGAGATGGAAGAAGGGGAAATGGGAAAAGGTGGATTTTGAAGCCCAGACCTACTAATTTTCTCTGTTAATCTCCCTCCCTTGGCTTCTAAGATTAGTTGGCAGGCTTTTCTTCTTCAGTCAGTCAGAATGAATTGTACTAGCCAGTACAGAACAGGAATATGAGAGAAATAGGGCAAGAAACACCCTGCAGTGCTCCATCCATCCATTGTGAAGTATTACTCTACCTAGTTACTTGACCCAGCCATTACTTGTTTTCCGAAATGACATTTTATCTGTCTCTTTTACATAATTGCACTAAGTTCTTGTCCTTCTCCCTTTTCTTCCTGAGTGTTTTCTGCTGGAGGCAAGATATGTTGTGTGGATCAGTATGTTCTTGTGTAGTTTAATTAATCTGCTGTCAAATACAGTGGAACCTTCTTGTAGTTATCTGTTGTTTGGTCTTAGGTTATTTGATCAATGAGGGCACTCTTCAGTAGAAGGGAAGAGGGCTTTTTTTTTAATAACAATATCTTCCTGTTATTGCAATGCATGGAAAGTTCTTCCCCACAAATCTTGTTAACTCAGGCACATATTTCAATATCTTTCATTTGTAACTACATCCTTGCCTCTTCTGGTTCTCATGTGGTTTCTGTGCAAGTAACTCTTTTGGTGTGATCTGCAATGAAGTATAAATGTTTTTAAATCATTTGTTATATTGCAGAGGCAGTTTCTGTGGTTGTTAGTGCTTGAAACCTTAGGTAGCTTGGTTTTTTTACCCAACACAATGTAACAGATAAACTGTTTTATAGCCTAGTTCTCAAAGCAGCCATGCAGATGTTTGCAGATAGATTTGGTGCAGGTGATCAGCATTACTATTGTGCTATTCTTGCCCATGTTTTCAGGATAATAGCACCTGCCTGACCTCTCTTTCCAGAAAGCTTCAGAGTTTTTGGATAAATAGTGTTTTACAAGTATGAAATTCTGCTGCTGCTGTTCTCAGTTTCCTCTGTACTTTTAGATCCCATTTTTTTATTTGTTAGTGTCATCAGGAGGGGCCCCAGCGACAGATAGTGTTGTTTCTGAAATGTTCCGAAATATTCAAATGTGGAAGTTAATCTGTTAAAAAGCAATCAACTCTTCCCCCCTCCCCACACTCCTGAAATCTTAATAGTGTTGATGTTGCTATTTATGAACCTTCCAAGTGCTTTCAATTTTGATATCCTGTCTGGAGAAGAAGAGAGCAGCATTCCCTGCTGGAGCTTATGTTTTGCCCTAGTCTGGCCGTCCGTCGGAGAGCAATCTGATAGCCCTGTCTGCCCCTTGTTCCTCCTGGGAGGGTTGCCAGAAGGCAGGAAGTGTATCTGTGGAGATCACAATACATTTTGAACAAGATGCTACAACTATTATCTTTCTTTCACTCAATCTAATTATTTTTAAACAGTCCTAACCACCCCTTTTTACTGCCCAAATTATTAACTTGGTCTAAGGTGTGTAGTTGAATGCACTCGCTGTTTGTCTTTTTACATGCCATTAGCCAGGTAGAAGCAGCAGTTACAATTGGTTATATAGCAGTCTGTATGTTCAGCACAGGAGCTCAGTAAATGTGAAACTCCAGAGTGTTAGATAAGCTAGTCTCTGGCAAAAAGCCGGCGTTGTGTTGCTTCAAGCACTTAATTAAAATATTTCAATTAAAGCCTCCACTATTACAGCAAAACCAAATTATAATTAAACAAAAAATTTAATTTTCACACAGCCTCCAGAGCTGCCAAGAGATTTCCCATACTGATAGGTGAAAAATTAAAATCTCGGCTTGAAACAATTAAATACTAATTCACGTTATTTATTTATAAAAGAATACCATAAGAATAAAATGAGTTTTAAGAATTGTGTTGCTGATTTGAAGTCTTGCAAATAATGTTTTTTGTCCCAGTGAGCATCTGAACTATACTCTGTGACCTGACTTTGTGAGAAAATTAATGCACATGTGCTTCTCCCTCGACCCAGAGTATTCCCACCCTTGCTAAAACTAAGAAATGCCTGTCTCATCTTCACCGTCTCAAGTGCAGAGGTGGCAAGTTGTACTTATGGTAATCTAATTGGGTAGCAAATAAAAATGTGAACAGGAGCGTTATCCATACCAACAGGAAAACAGTACAGTGTTTGTGTGTCATGAGAATTAAATATTTATGCTTTGTTCTTTTGTTCTGTAAAAACAATCTTATTAACTAGACCTGAAGAGGAGAATGGTCCAAGTTTTCTGCTTTGCCTTGGCATGACTTTCTGAGTTTTCTGCAAATAGGCCAAATCTAAGGCTCCTAAATATACTTCCGTCTCTGTGGTAGTTTCAGAGAAGATACATTTTTTTGCATTTGCAAATATGCAGATAGGCAAATACGCTAGATCTGTATGCTATAGACTGATCAGATACAGTGATACGTAAATACATACAGTACGTGAGCTGAATTATTTCTGTGAAGTTCAGAGGAGCATGCTTTTGAAATATATTACAAAGTTCATACTGTGACTGAGAGGATTTGATACTGGGAAATTTGAAATTTGAAGTATGTAAGAATAAATTCTCCTTATGAAAAATAGGGATATAATTAATCCAGCCAGATGTTCCTGAGTTCTTATTGTACTCCTCAGTCACATTTTCAGCAACTAGGTAGAGAATATTGTTGAACTGTGTTGTGAAAATTATAGCATTTGAGGAGAATTTTGTTTTCTGTGTGTTTGGAGGAAAGGAGAAAGCTTTTAATTGATTTCCTTTCACTGGGATATTTTTACTTTTAAATGCTGATAAAATACCTTCCCCCCCTCCCCATTTCAATTGAAGTATCAAAAACGTGTTACTTGTTTAAAGGAAAACAAAAGCACAGAAGAAAGTGATCAGAGTCCATAGAGACACTTGATCTGCAGCAGAGGTCCTTTTCAGCTGGCCCAGTAAAACTACCGATCCTTATGCAGCTAATGGAAGAGGCAGGTTCCGCCAAAGACCTCAGAGTACAATGCAAAGTACTGTTTATTGCCTGGTTTGATGCTGTCACTCTCCATCCAGTGACTGTAAGGGATCGTGAGTGTGGTTGGGTGAGCAAGGCAAAGCATTGAAGCTGGGCTTTGCCCTGTGTAAGAAACCCGTGAGAAGAGTTGCGGGTATCCAATATTGTTGGTGTCCACCTTTGTCCTGGGCTTCAAGCATTCCCTGGGAGGTGGCCGAAGCCCACCACTTTGCCACATCTGAGGAAGGTCTCCCAGGTGCAGAGAGAAGGTCTCTCCATGTGTGCTGTGGATCCTGAGCCCCTTGGCAGCTGGCCGTGTGTCAGGGTACGCTCTGGAGAAGGGCAAGAGGAACAGGGGCTTCAAACCTGTGCTCCGGGCACTGGCCGGAGCAGAAGACTCAGATTCTGGTCCCTGGTTTTAGGGCTATTCTCGTCTTTTGACTACAGTCTAACATACAACACATGAATGATTATCAGTTAATACTTATACGTCTCTTAGTCAAGTGTTGCTTTAGGCCTGCTGGGATGTACGCTTCATAAAAAGAGAGCATTCAAGCTGGGGGTTGGGAGGGAATTTTTTTTAAATCCCCGAGAGAAGAGGACATTCAGTCAAAGAATGGGTGTCTGTTTCCTGATGCATCTCTAAGGGCTTCTGTGTGGGCAAGGAATGAATACTGATCCCAGTTTTAGACTGGAAAGTCAATGTTGCCTAATAGTTTGAGTGCATTTTATATGTATTATAGATCTTTATCTTAAAATGAGTAAATTAAGGGGCAAACCTGGAGATGTGTGACTTTTCTTTCAGTTCCAGTAGTGCTTCCTATAAATGTCTACAATGGTACTTTGCAGTTGTTCACATTTTCAGAGTTTTGTGACCGCGTTTGTTGTTATTCTTCAACATTTGGTCTCAAAAATAAAAATTGAATGAATTTGCCAAGACCATGATGATGTGATGTCCTTTTCCACCAAATGGATGGCACCAGACCTTTATGGAACATTTTAAATGCCCAGCTGGGCAATTGCAAAGCACAGTTATTTCTGGAGAGTCGTGGTAGGGAACTGGCTGATTGCTTAGAACAGAGCATATGGCAATTTAGTGATTGGATTAGAGCCGTAATTTGGCTATATGGGATCCACTACCAATTATATTTTTTTCCATACAAATATCTTTTTAGTTTCAAGGCATTGTGACGCACTGAA